CTATTCTACTGAGGACTTTTAAAACAGATACAGTACCTTGAACTGAAAAGGACTCCCGAACTGCTTAGCTCATTGGCTAATAACTAGTACAGGAGGAAGTATAATCTAATCACATGCTTCATGTTGCTACTTTTCATATATTTTAAACACACTTTTTAAATGCACACAACTATTTCTGATCGGCTAGTTCCATGTACCATCTGGCTATCCCTTAATCCCTGCTACTATCAGAGGGCAATTTTTTTAAAAGTATGTCAAAATACTTCATGAGATGATTATGTATTCAGTCAACCTTTTTTTTCAAGGCACATGAAACAGAAACTAAATCCTCAGCTTCACAGGCTAACTGCAACTCATATTCTTCAGTATCCATATTGTAATAGCTTCATTCTTCTAGACTGAAAATATATTTACAAAAACAAGTATTTAGTGATAGAAACTATGGACTGATCTAGAGGTTTAATATCCGCTATTTATATAAGCAACCATCTGAACAATAGTCAATAATAATAAGCCTAATGGAGGGTAACATGGGCCCTTCTTAATTTTAATTAAAAATAAAGCACTAAGATCAAAATCTAAGTTAATTATGAAACCTGTGATGTACTTTTACACTGGTGTTCATTATTCATCTGAAAATAACCTGCATTTTAATTATTAACATGTTTGTTAAATTATAGGAACTACAATTCTTTAGACAAAGTGCATAAGATTTTAGAACTCATGCTGAAATAGAAAGTCACAGTTTTTAGTTAGCTAGTCCACAACAAAGCTCACCATGCTCAGAAAGATGATTATTGCCATTTAAAAAGGAACCAAGAAGGAATGTTGGATCATTAGTCTGAGAGCAAAACGCTTAAATAACTTCCAACTGCAGATGTGAAGGGCTGAGAACAAAACCAAGAAAAACATATGGGGAAACTGAGGTGAAATTCCCCCCCCCCCCCAACCACCACCTTTTCCTTCTTGGTCTTCACATCTCGATTTCCACTGGGCAATATACAGACATCGATCATCCCTGGTCTCAAACAGGACTCTGTTCTGTAGCAGTTCAGTACCAATGCCAGTTCCACACACTTTCCCAGTAGCTGGGCAACCAGATATCTCAGTGATCAATCTATAGCAGTGTTCTGCAAGAAGTTATGATGGGGTGATCACAGCAACTGAGTCATACCATGGAAGATTTTTTTGTGTGTGTTTTAAGGGATATAGGAATTTGAGAAGGAAAACACAGCATGACAAATGACAAATTGTAGATAGGTGTTGTAAAAGGATTTGACTGAAGGACTAACTATTAAACTAAGCTTTCAGGTTTTATAAATAAGATACAGCTATTCCTGACCCATTAAGAAGTCCACAGCTTGCCACTAAATGACAATAAATACTGAGAAGCAGGGAAAAGATGAACAAGAAGCTGCTTCAAGGAATCAAGTACCTAAGCAAAAGACCTTGTCCATTTTTGTTTTGTTTTTGCAAGGTTCTTTATATGACTATTAAGGAGAGAGAAAACCAAAGAAAGTATGAGAAGTAACATCCTGCTTACACAGGGCCTGGTATTGCCAATAGGGCCTCCCTGCACACCAAGGTGTTGTAACGTCTATGAAGCAAACTGAGGTCCCTTCAATTAACTACAAGCCAGGTCCACAACATGGCCTTGTAGCACAGTTGCCAGCTCTGCCCACATCATGTCATAACATACATGTTTGCCTTCTCTTTTTTCTCATTTCTCATTTTAAAAGATAACAGAAAGAATGACACAATGGAGGCACTATTTTTTAAATCAGTTTTGACATCATTATGCAAAACTGTCATGAACCTGTATTCTCTGGTTAACACACTGAACATCAAAAGCAGAGACAGTTTAAGCTTTCTGTATTTTCCTAAGATCACTTAGAGTTCTTAGGCAAGATGCGTGACTTGATTCCTTGCATGCAAAGCTATCACTAGCCCTGTTGCTGTGCCTTTGTTTCCAATGTACTCACCATGTGAAAACTGCAACAAGTTTGCTCAGAATCAGGTTCACAATATTTTCATATATTTTAAAAGCAGCTAATCAACTATTATGCATGCAAATACAATGACACATAGTACATGCACACACCAGCTAGTTAAAAAAAAGAGTTAAGTGAGAACTTATTTCACTTTATGAAGTCCATGTTTCATTCCTGATAATTATTCAAAAAGGAGTCATCTGAAAGACACTAAGCTATTGCCCTAGGAAAAAGCATGTGCTAATTGAGGGAACGTGCTCATCAGTGCCACAAAATTAGGTATAAAGTTACCACAGAGAAAATATATTAAAACTAATTTTGTTATGAATAAAATTAGACAGAAAAGCACAGATTACAATGTAATGATGAGAGATAGAGGGTGAAGATCAGAAGCAGAAGTAGAGAATAACTTGTGGATGAGCAAGCAGAAAAGAATATTTGGAAACATTTCCTTTTGCAATTCAAAATAATGGCCCTAAGCATACATTGAAAGCTATGCAATCTTGTGCATTCTAGTTTCACAAGTGAGAAACTGGCAGCTGGTGGCTTTCCAAAAACTTTAACAAGATGTGACAAAAGGAACGTGAAATTGCACTGTGTTGTTTGCAAATAGCCACTTGCTCAGAACAAGCAGTAATAATTCCCTCTACATAAGTCTTGTGGAAGACCTCTTGTTACAAATGCACCACAATACACAATATACATGCATAGGGTAGTTTAAAAAGTGTATGGGCTGCAAAATATTTTCCAATTTTCTGCATGATTGCATTTTCTGCATGGCTGACTACTTCTTGCTGTGATAAGTATAGCAAATTTCAGTAACGCTTTTTTTTTTCTTTCAATGAAATGTCAGAATCATGGACAGCCTTGATAATGAGAGTCATGTTTAGTTCTATTAGGCCTGACTACTTCCAGTCAAAATAAAAGTTTAAAAGTTGGAAAGAATATTAACAACACAGAATAAGAAACCAGTTTCTAAGGACACATCTCTGGTACTTTCCAAATAGAGAACAAATATCAAACCAAACTCAGTCTCTCAAAATGCCCAAGTAAAAACATTTTAAATTAAAAGACTTTATTACTATTCATATTTGTAGCAATAAATACTAAAATCACAAAATGTCCCCTTTTACTAATACCAGGGTATTTCCTCGTGTTGCAAAATTAATGGCAGCAACAAGTTCCTTTTTACTAATGCTCTCAAAGCATTTAGCTTAATGACTATATATTTGTTTGCAAGAGCAAGAAACAGCAATAAGTCTCTATGCAGACCTACACACAGTATGAAATGTTTGATATATGGACCTTCTTTGCATTGCATTTGTCTCAAATATAAATACCATTAACTGAAAACCAGATTGTATTAATATTATCATTTAATTACAGTTCTTTTAATTAGATATACCATCCTAAACTGAGTTGTTTTGGGATACACCAAAGCAGTGTCCAGTGGATTAGGGCATGGTTGACTGACTGAAAGCAGAGGGTAACCATTAGTGCGGAATCATTGGGATGGCGGCCAGTGACATGCGGGGTCCCCCAGGGCTCTGTCTTGGGGCTGATCCTGTTTAATCTTTTCATTAATGACATGGAAGAAGGGGTGAACAGTCTGCTGATCAAATTTGCAGATGATAGTAAAACTGGAGCAGTGGCCACAACTGAGCAGGTACTCCAGATCCAAAAGGGTCTGGACAGACTATGGAAGTGGGCAGGAGACAACAGGATGGCGTTCAATGTGGATAAGTGCAAGGTCTTGCACTTGGGGCATAGGAATAGGTGTCATAAGTACAGGTTAGGGGACAAGTGCTGCTCTCCAGGCACTTGTCCCCTAACCTGTACTTATG